CTCATCATGAGGCGCGTACACGCTCAGGGGATGGATGGAGGTGTGTGCAGTGCTGCCCACATGAGGCGTTATAACGGCGCTCATGGGTTTTTTTATGACCGTGTGTAGGAGGCGTATCTCGGACAGAGGAATGCCGCGAGCTCTGCAGGTTATTAACCAAGGTTAAAAAGGGCAGGCTTCTGCAGCGAGCCCTGCTGGTAATCAACAGATTAGTGGCAGCCGGCTTAATTAGCGAGCTCTGCAGTTAATTAACCGATAGGTTAAAACCAGCAGGCTTCTGCAGCGAGCCCTGGCGCCGTGGCGCTGCGGGCGCTGCCGCTGGGGGCACTCAGCCTGGAATACTGCTCATTCCCCCGTTCTGGCTTCTCTGTGATGTGCTGTAATGGTCGACATGGTGACGAGCCACGCCATTGCCCTCGCCGCCGCTGCCCGTGAGGCGAAAGGGCTGCGAGGAAACCTCCACACGCTGCGTTTCACTCCGGCTGTCATCATGACAGGGGATGAGTGGAGGTGTGTGCAGTGCTGTCCCCATGAGGCGTTATACCGGCGCTCATGGGTTTATTATGACCGTGTGTAGGAGGTATCTCGGACGGAGGAATGCCGCGAGCTCTGCAGGTTATTAACCGAGGTTAAAACCGGCAGGCTTCTGCAGGGAGCCCTGCTGTCTACTTAATCAGCAGATTAGTGGCAGCCGGCATAATTACCGGCTCTGCTTCCTCGGAGGCTCTCGCGGAGCAGACCAGGAGCGGGGGAGCCTCACTCCCCTTTGACTCGCCGCCGGGAGACCCTGTCTCTGGGGTGGCGGGGGAGCGGAGACGTGGGACGGAGCCCCTGCAGCCGCCGAAGGGCGAGTCTGACGCCGGGTTGGTTGCTGTGGGCGTCTCTCCGCCTGCGGCCTCCTGTGGCCGGCGTGGACGCCGCGGATGCTGTGGGCGCTGCTGTGGGCGCTCAGCAGGCTGGAGCCAGCTGTACATGCTGGCGAATGCCGTCCGCCTGTTCCGCGGCCGTCTTCATGGACTCCACCATGGCGTGGAACTGGGGTCCTAACAGCCCGTACGGGCTGATTGGAGCGTCCAGTAGCACTTTTCTGGCCGTCTCCGTAACAGACGCCTGCTGCAGGTGGCGCTGGATCTGTGTCACCCACGCGGAAATCCTCGCCTGGGAGACAGCGACGGACGCGCACAGAGTGAGCGCCGTGCTGGCCGCCTTGCTGATTTCCTCTGCCTCGGTGGTGGACCGCTCTACCAGTGTCAACACCGAGTTGGAGAGCAGCGCGATGATATTCGCCGCCGCCTGAAAGGCACACTGGTGCACCCGGTCGGCCTGGCGGGCGACATACTGGTCTCTGGGGGAGCTCAACGTAGGGCGCCGTTCAGCGATTATGTTGGCCATGTTGACCCCAAAAAACGCCGTCAGGCTCGGCTCCAGAGAAGGGGTGGCTGGGAAACCAGCATCTGTGAACCCCTCCACCTTGGTGAGGGGAACAAATGTGGCCACCGGAGCCTTCAGGTTCCTCGGGTTCGCCGCCGCCCCCTCCTGGAACCTCCTGATGGCCGGGAAGCGTGGCCAGATCGGGTCACTCCTGACCGTCTGCACCCGCGAAAAAACTCCGGTTATGTCGTCCGGAGCACACCTCTCCTGAGCTAGGGGAACGGGGAGATCTCTGCAGGCGGCCGCCTTGCGTATGATCTCCGGCAGTTCCCCTAGGATGCCACCTATCGCCGGTAGCGCTGTGGTGACGGAGAGGGGGAAAGCATGTTCGGCCGCCAAGCTAGCACCCTGCTCCGACTCTGTCTCCCCGTCCGGGGGAGAGGAGGGAGGGGAGAACCGAACGGTGAACCGTGGAGGGAGGCGGGGCAGGAGTTGTCGGACTCCTGCCCGGCACTCGGCCCCCGTCTGCGGGCTCGTAAGCCTGGACGGGCCAATCGTCCCCCTCGGCCGCAGCAGCAAGAGCGTCCGCTCTCCGCTTCCTGTTGCCCGAGGGGAGACGGACGCAGTGTGTGCATGTTACCTGCTGGTTTAGAGCCGCGTACGCGTGCTCTGACCCCAGGCAGGTGTGTGCTGGTCATAACTCAACCCAGAGCCACATGAGGGACAATCTCTCACACAATTGTTACTCATGTTTACTCTGCAATTGAAGTGTCTCTTGTGCTTCAGTAACGGTGTGCTGAAGAAAAGAGGGAGCAGATTTTCGGGCCTCCTTCCTATTTATACCGGAAGGGAGCCCGAGGGTGGGTCCCACCTTGCGGGCGGGCGTGGACTACAAGTGTTCCAGTGTTGCGCGGGTGCGCAGGGGGATTACCCAATAGCGATAGCCTTAGAGGGCGAAGCCATATATGAAATAGAACGCATTTGTTACTTTGCAGCCCGGACATTTCCCCCAAAACACATTTAGAAGCGATCCCAACACAGAAGTACCTTTCAAATCCCATCACTTTTAAGACCTACTAAATCATATTTAAGACCTTTCTTATTTTTTTAAGACCCCGTGGGAACCCTGTTAATAAATGATGGTTGGACCTGTGTTAAAGGAAGTGTTAGTAACAGGACGGTCCTCTTGTATGTTAACGGCCCCACAGGAGGTGATGTGTTCGGACTCTTACTTTTAGCATCGATGAGCCGCTCTCGGGGGGCGGTGTCTGAAGAGGACAGCTGCTCTTTGACCTTGGCGATGTCCTTCGGGTGAAGGTAGTCAAACAGACTCTGACCTATCAGGTCATTCTGCAGAGAGAAGGTAACATGTGAGAGACAGCAGGAACAGAGGGAACTAAGTGAGAGGTGAACAGAGGCAGAGAACATAAACAATACAGTCGAGGACAGACCTAAAAACATCTCCAACATCTAATTCTCTGAAGGCCATCAATTATTCTTCCATAACCGTGCATGGTTTTTTTCGGAAACTGCAAGGCAATTTAAATCTTCAATCTAAAGTTAACTGTGAGACAGAATTTCCAACTGAAGTCAGGACGTTGTGATGATCTGCTGCTGGGATTTGATTATTTATACTGAAGAAATTCTGCTGATTTGTGATAAACGTTTTGAATTCTTCCAAAAATGGTCAACACTATGAAATCATGAGTGTGAGAGACTGACAGAAGGATATAAAACGTTTAAAATATTAAATAGACTATAGGTCGTTCATTGCGGAGAGGCTGGGATAAATGATAATGTGAGGAAGCGCACACACTCCCTCACTAACATGTTGGTCTTAACTATTTGTTTGTTCAGAAAGGTAGTACATGTTTTTTCAGAGTTGTCTTTATTTCAGTTAAAGTTATAAAAACAGTTTACATAAACAAACTAATAAAATGCATCTAAATTAATTTGTCAGTCTGTAAAATACACAAGTACCAAGTAATCACCATTTCCTTTGTTCAGACCTGGAGGCACGCCTCCAAAGTACTCCTTATATGTGCCGTAGGAGTAGGCGGAGTCTTGGACGCGATTGGTCAGGAAATGTGATTTTATGAGTGTCAATTAGGTTGAAAACTATCCGTTTTAAGCAGACCTTGTTGTTTTTGAAGGTATAATCTTTATGTTGATGCAATAATGAATTTACTTAAGCCTTTAGGGTTTTATTAAGTGTAGACAACAGTGTTTAATTTTGTATTTAACCCTTCACTCCGCTTTCGGAACCATGACCTGATTGGCCAGGTTGGAGTGGGAAGGCGGGCAGTCTCCAATAAATGTGATTGGGAAGAGAGGGGAAGGGGGCATTTTTTGTGTTTGTTCCTTGCTGGTGAATGCAGCACCAGGCAGGCATTTTGTGTTTTCTGTGGAATAATGTGGAAGGCTAAGAATAAAACGCCTGTAATTTTTGCAAGAAAACCCTCTCTCCACGTATCGTTCTTTCACCTGCACCTCACATCGTAACAGATAATAAATAATAGTAAACAGCAGCACATTAACATGAGTCAGTGTACCTGGCTGTAGTTGAGAATCTTGAAGACGGACTCAGAAACAAAGAGGATCTTCCCGCGGTCACACCCAACCACAAACAGGAAACCATCAGCAGCCTGGTGTCAAACACAGAGAACACTGGGATCAATGTGGGGAGTCTCACAAATACATCTTCCTTGTTAAAGAAAGTCACTCCTAACCCTTTTGTCGTCTTCCCATGGGCACACCCCACATACTCAGCTCTGTTGCTCATCCCACAAATGCTTGTTCCTCACACAAGTGGCACCATTGGAAAGGTAAGA